GCGTGCGTGCCCAATTTATGTAAATGATCCGATGTGCTACACCAATTTAAGTATTTGCTGGGTCATATGTTACAATGTGAGGATGTATGGGCTGAAAACCTTTCTAATCAATAAAACCAATTTAAAAAATCTCTCTCTCTCTCTTTCTCTCTCTCTTTCTCTCTCTCTCTCTCTCTCTCTCTCTCTCTCTCTCTCTCTCTCTCTCTCTCTCTCAAATCCGTGACACTGTACATTTAAGACATATCAAGACAGAACTGTCACAGACTTTCCTACCGTAACTTGTCCTTACAGACATCAATGAGTGTGCAGAGGGCACACACCAGTGTCAGCAACAGTGTGACAACACAGAGGGAACCTACTCCTGCAGTTGTTTACCAGGAAACACACTACAGGGTGATGGACGAACCTGTGTACAAGGTGAGATAACACACCACAGAGTAGACACACCTGTTTATAAGTGGAGCTAACACACCACAGAGTGATGGACACACCTGTCTACAAGGTGAGCTAACACACTACCATTACAAAGTGATGGATGCACCCGTGTACAGGGACAGAGAAAACACACCTGTTTATAAGTGGAGCTAACACACCACAGAGTGACCTAACACACCAGAATAATGTATACAACTGTCTACAAGGTGAGCTAACACACCACAGAGTGATGAACACTTATCTACAAGTTGAGATAACGCTCCAGAGTGATGAACTCACATGCCAACAAGATAAGCCAACACAATACAACAACAAAAGGGATGGACACACCTATAAATAAAGTGAAGTAACACACTAGATAGAGCGATGGACTCACCTGTCTACAAAGTGAGCTAACACATCACAGAGTGGTAGGCACACCTGTAAATAAAGTGAAGTAACATACTTGAGTGACTGACGCACCTATGTGCAAGGAGAGCTAACACACTACAGAGTGCTGGACGTACCTGTGAACAGGGTGAGATAGATCACAACAGATTGATGGACACACTTATGTGCAAGGTCAGATAACACACCCCAACTACAAAGTGATGGATACACCTGTGTACAAGGTGAGCTAACACACTACAGCTACTTAGTGATAAGATACACCTGTAAATAAAGTGTAGTAACACACTAGAGTGATGAACACACCTGTCACTAGGTGAGCTAACACACCATAGTGTGATGGATACACCTGTGTACAAGGTGAGCTAACACCTGTAAATAAAGTGTAGTAACACACTAGAGTGATGAACACACCTGTCACTAGGTGAGCTAACACACCATAGTGTGATGGATACACCTGGTTACAAGGTGAGCTAACATCTGTAAATAAAGTGAAGTAACACACTAGAGTGATCGACACCCCTATTTACAAGGTGAGCTTACACACTATTGAGTGATATACTCATGTGCCTCCTCCACATGGTAACTATTTGCTTCACTGGCAATGTAGCTTCAGGGAACAACCATTCATTTTTCTGTACTTCTGGCCTCCTTGACTTTCCTGCATGACTAGACCACAACCACTTCTGATTAACTCTTTAAACTCCATTGTCCGGCGATAATAACCCTGCTCCTCATCGGACGCTGGGAGTGTCCGATACTTGAGACAACTGTTTCGTTTTATTTAGTGCTAGTTTTTGTTTGTTTTACAGAACTATTTCGGAACTATTCCCGAACCAAGTTCTTTAGTACTGACTATCCGACATTTAGAAGCTGGAGGCAAGCTTTTAGGGTTATAATGGGACATAGTGCACCAGGTTTAGGTGACTGTAGAAAAAGTCTCAGGGAAATGGAGGAAAAAATTCAGGGTTTAAAGAGTTACGCTGAATGGCTTTACTTGTTTTGCTAGCCTCAATTTATTTTTATCTTTGTTATTTTTGGTATTATGTATTATTATAAATTTTACACATTGTGAATAGAACTATGTTTAGGTATATTATATTCTCTGAAAATGTTCATAAAATTGTTCTGCACTGGTGTAATATTGCGTACGTAGTATTCTTTGTATTTATATTTGTGTGTTTATATATGTTTCTATGTTTGCATATTGCCAATGCAACCAAAATTTCCCCTCAAGAATAAATAAAATGCAGTTTATTTATTCTATTTTTTTAAATTCGAAAAGTACTCACTATCAAAATAAAATATAAAATTCAGTCTACACAATGAGCCTGGTTCTAGCTATCCCATGTTGGAATTTCCAGATTCTTCCATCCAAGACATATGCAATACAAAAGGCTGCAGTGGAATTTGCTCAGTGGATGATAACCAGAACGCTGTGTGTGGCTGCCAGAAAGGTTTCCAACTGTCCGGGACAACAGCCTGTGTGGGTCAGTATGAGCTTTTTGGTATTTTTATCCCCTGTTTAATCTACGTCAAGGCACTGTGCAGGGATAGTGAAGGAGAGGCAGACAGAAGAAGAGATGGGAGAATAATATTTGAGAATGAACAGCCATGGATCTGCAGGACACACTGAGGAAAGCAGAGAGTCAAGAGGAGTACTGGAGATTTATCGTCATCTGCCAGAGGCAACACAATGGATGACAAATCTATGGGAGCAGAAATCTATGTATTCTACTATGTGTGCAGGCTATTTTTCCTCTGTGTTATTGGATTAACTATCTCTTTCTTTTACACAAGACTTGAGTGTTGGTGAATATGATTATAATCAGCCATAGCAGGAAAGAGATAATCCTGTATCACTTGCTAGGTCATAGTTGCCACTTTTGTCCCTGTTCAGTTGCCATGGTTTTTAAAAATGTATTATTTGTCACTCAATGGTATATTTATACTCTCCAAACATGTCTCGCAAGGTCATAGTCAATACTATTGTTTATGTTCAGCTGCAAAGGGCCTTTTTTTTAAAAAATAGGTCAGTCACTGGTATATTTATATGCCCCAAACATACCTAGTGGTTTATTGGCAGGTGGTATGGTGTGGTTTTTACCTTCTTTTCTATCAAACGCCCATCTTACTCATCTCTTTACCTCCTTTTCTTGGTAGCGTACCCTTTAGTAACATCTCTAATCTTTGCCTCTGAAATGACCTATTTGTGTTGCAAGTGACTCAAAACCCTTACTAAAACTAAACCAAAATATACGTAGAAAGTAGTATATTATTATGATATGACTTGCTCTCCTCAGACATTGACGAGTGCAGCACGGAGAATAAATACTGTAGTCAGGCCTGCCACAACACACAGGGAGGCTTCTCTTGCTCCTGTTACAAGGGCTACCAGCTACAGGAAGACCAGACCTCTTGTAAAAGTATGTGTGACTGTGTCTCTGTGTGCATGGATAGTGTGTGAGCGTGTGTGTATGTCTGTGTGTGTAGTTGTTTACCAGGAAACACACTACAGGGTGATGGACGCACCTGTGTACAAGGTGAGATAACACACTACCATTACAAAGTGATGGATGCACCCGTGTACAGGGACAGAGTAGACACACCTGTTTATAAGTGGAGCTAACACACCACAGAGTGACCTAACACACCAGAATAATGTATACAACTGTCTACAAGGTGAGCTAACACACCACAGAGTGATGAACACTTATCTACAAGTTGAGATAACGCTCCAGAGTGATGAACTCACATGCCAACAAGATAAGCCAACACAATACAACAACAAAAGGGATGGACACACCTATAAATAAAGTGAAGTAACACACTAGATAGAGCGATGGACTCACCTGTCTACAAAGTGAGCTAACACATCACAGAGTGGTAGGCACACCTGTAAATAAAGTGAAGTAACATACTTGAGTGACTGACGCACCTATGTGCAAGGAGAGCTAACACACTACAGAGTGCTGGACGTACCTGTGAACAGGGTGAGATAGATCACAACAGATTGATGGACACACTTATGTGCAAGGTCAGATAACACACCCCAACTACAAAGTGATGGATACACCTGTGTACAAGGTGAGCTAACACACTACAGCTACTTAGTGATAAGATACACCTGTAAATAAAGTGTAGTAACACACTAGAGTGATGAACACACCTGTCACTAGGTGAGCTAACACACCATAGTGTGATGGATACACCTGTGTACAAGGTGAGCTAACACCTGTAAATAAAGTGTAGTAACACACTAGAGTGATGAACACACCTGTCACTAGGTGAGCTAACACACCATAGTGTGATGGATACACCTGGTTACAAGGTGAGCTAACATCTGTAAATAAAGTGAAGTAACAC